CAATTTTCTGAATCTGTTTTCCCAATTCGATGTTCCTGTTTCAACAACAGTTTCCATTCTGAATACTGAAGACATGAAACGCTTTTCCCCTCCCACAAATGTTTGGTATACTTTCAGCTCCAACCCAGGACCAGGTACCCCTTTAAAAAGAGCAGAAAATTACATACAGGTCTGTCATTTTTGGGGGTTGGGTGTAGAACAAACTGAACAGTGTTTGGTCTGGAATGTGTTTAAGGAAAAGGCAAACTTCATAGAGTGTAAGTAGACAAAAGTGGTAGTACTGGTTAGTAACATGCAAAGGTTTCGTGCATTGGTGGAATCAGAGGACCTTCATTTCATTTGCCAGAAGTGATTTTGCAAACCTGGAAAAGTGTACAACTGATTTGTTTATGGAAACTAGAGGAGCTGTCCTTTACCTGATGTTGCCTTTTGTTCACAAATCCAAAGGAATTCCCGGGCTGCATCTGTGAAAGTTACACCAAGCAGGGAGTGTTGCTCACTGAAGTTGAAGTGGCAATAACCCTATTTTATTTGCCTTCTGTTCTGGAAAAATGGTTCTAGTGTGGCTTCCTCAGTGTAAAGTATCAATACTGGCCAAGCTCTGAGTGAACAAGGGTCTACAGTGCCCTAAGCCATCAAATACTGGATCTACTTCCACTGGGATATGGTTTTTCTGTTTCAAATTGAATTGCTCATAAACATCCAACCCCAGTGGGTTAATCAGAGTACAATGTCATTCCATGAGAGACAGGGTCAACTTCTTTCAGGAGGAACCATCTGGGTTCCCTGTCCTGTGTTCCTGGTGCTCTCAGCCTGTGTTCTAAAGGAGGCTCTCTCCCTCTACCACCCACAGTCTATCCAGGGTACAACGGACACCTACAGGATGGATTAATGCTGAGTAGATAAACTGAGTCTGGAGCTCACTATGCCAACATCCTTTTGTCAAACTGCTAATGTGTTCCAAAAGTGAAAGCTTGCATCTTCTTCTGCCCTAAGCTGGATAGCTAAATTCCCTGCACGCTAAGTAAGTTATAAGAGCTTGACTTCCTGGTGAGGCTTAGAACTGACTAGAAATCACTGTCAAGGTCAAGAACATTAAGCTGTGCCTATTTTTTTTTTTTTTTTTTTTGCATTGTGTAATTCTTTTCTTAAAAAAGGAATGTATCCTTTCTGTTTTGTATGAAGTCAGGCACAGTAGGAAGTTGTAAACATCAGCTACTACCCACTGCAGAAGTCATGAGCAACTATGAGGTACCATTTATCCAGCTGGGCAGCCGCCTCTTTTCTCAAAGGATTTTCATGGTTATGTGCATAGCCCTGGATGCTGCCAACAGTTAATATGTTTGGCTGCTAACCAAAAGGTTGGAGGTTCGAGTCTACCTAGAGGCACCTCAGAAAGCCTGGTGATAAACTTCCAAATACTCAGCCACTGAAAACTCTATGGAACACAGTTCTACTCTGACACACTTGGGATTACTACAAGTCAGAATTGACTCGGCAGCAACTGTTTGTTTTGCTTTTATGCATGCTCTGCCTCATTCAGCTCCAACTGTCTTTGTCCCCCTTCAACCTGGTGTGCCAGACACCAGTATGCTTGGTGCAGTGAAAAAGGGCGTCCAAGACCCCAGCAGTACTTTGGCAAAGGTAGCAGCAACATTTTCAAAGGCCACAGGGTCTAGAGTGAGACATGGATTCACTATTAGCTTCTCTGGCTGACTCATTTACAAGACGAAGATCAGCCAAGCAAAGCAGGGCAGAAAGACAGCTGAGGGAAAGACCATTCCAGGACACATTTCTAAAATTTAATATCAATGAAAAAAAAAAAAATCCCTAGGCTTGAAAAGGTGAAGAGACCCAATCTGGGGCTTAGTGTTAGGAAAGAAGCTTGTGATGTGTTCACTCTGAGCTTGGCCAATGTGCTGGCTTCAAGGATGTGCCTAGCCTGTTTGCACACATTAAATGCCTGCTAATATCTGTTGAGCTCGACATCAGTTAGGGTCTTAGCACTATGCCATCCCATTTGTCAGGATTTAACATAATGTATGTTCTGGGTTCTCTTCCCATTTTGTAACAAGACATAGACAATACCAAATACAGTTGAAAGACAACCTCTTTATCCTTTTGCCTCTAAGGCCCCTCAAGAGCAAAAGCTCTTCTGTGTGACATTTCTTTTCTCCTCTTCCTAATGAAATAGGAAATACCCTAAAAGGCAGTCTGGCCTACTCTGATGTCAGGACCAAGAGAGTTTACTATTGACCTGAAGCCAGTCTCCACCTCCTGGTACTGCACTGCTGACACCTGATGTGACAGGTGAGCCACAGCAGGGTCAAAGACTGATTCCAAAGAGGGTACTTGTGACAGGGCACTCCTCTAACATGATCTGCACTGTTCAGATAAGATATTCTTTCAAACCAGTTGCATATACCGTACACCCTGGATAGGAGCTCCAGGAAAGATTTTCATCACCAATAATACAACTGGGCTTCAACTCTTTTTAAATGCAAATGACTGTGTACAGCACACAGCATAAAGAGAACTATTCAAACACACACGATAGGTACCAAATTCAGGTAAACCATTCCCCCTTACAACTTTCTATCGGCACTTTTTCTCTCTTGTACTTTATAATCTTGAATGCTTCCATTATGTTTGTTACTAAGAGATATTTTAGTGAACCTTCTGTAGAGATACAGCAGTCGTCTCAAATTATTTTCTCAAATATGGCTTACAGTATTCATGTCATTGTCCTTCTGAAGGTGGTGGTGGTGGGGTTGATGCATAACCAACTTTGGTGATGTGTGCTTATTCGCTGGGCCTCTTGTCCAGACTTTTTACACATTTCCAAAAGCAACAGCTTGTCTCCTCCGCCCCTGTACACATGTGTGGAAGAAACTCTGGTAGCATAATGGTTACGAGTTGGGCTGCTAACCTTAAGGTTAGCAGTTCGAAACTATCAGCAGTTCTATGGGAGAAAGATGAGGCTTTCTGTTCCCATAAGGATTTACAGCCTCAGAAACCCTGTACAGGGTCACTGTGAATCAGAACCAACTCCACAGCACATTACCACCACCGTGTATGTGTGGCAAACTCCAAGCAAAATTTATTCCTGCCGAGTGCCTGTGTGCCTCTAACAAGTGTGGGGCAGTGTTAGACCAGCTGCCCATCTTCCAGTGGCTCTCATACACATACCTGTCATTATACACATTACAGTTGCTGAACCTAATACCACTGTGTGTGCAATGGGGTAGGGATGGGGATAGTAATGAAAATTTTGGCATGGACATATGCAAAGACATGGAAGTGACAAAGATTGTGTGACCTTGTAGGACCTGCGGAGTCTGTCTACCTGGAGGAGAAGGGTACAGGGACAAGAGCCAGGGAAGTTCCGTTTCAGGATTGTCATTGCAGCATTGGGTAGAGCTCTGGGGACCCTCAGCAGGCTCCAGGCTGTGTGAATTTCAGGCCCAGTCTGGATGGGCTCGAGGACCATGCTGGGGCAGAGAGCCAAGGGAGGGCTTTGGAAAGCTGGCACCTGGAGTTACCTGCTTGACTCGACAAGAGTTCATCCTTGAAATCTCCTTAAAAAGTGGTTTAACCCAGAGTTTCACACTGCACCTGCTATATCCACACACTATCTGTGACCTGGTCTAATTTGCTTAGAACTTTCCTGGTTTTCACAGTGCAAATCCAGTCCCCCAGTAAACCCTCCAGTCCTAGGCTAGACACCCTACCACCACAGATTTTTGGTTTTCATATTCCTCTGCTCACAGGACAGGCTTTCAAGCCCATCTGGGCCTGGTGAAGTCCTGCTTGCTTGGCAGGTCGCCTTTCCTTATCACTCTAGACAAATGAATTCTCCTCCAAAAACACTGCCCTCCCCACTCAGATAGCATTCATATTAAGAAAAGGGCAAGCATTTGGAGGGGAAACAAAAAACAAAACAAAACTTGTTATGAGTTGGAGGCTATTTTGTTCGGTTAGACACACATTTTAAAAAAGCGAGAGAGAGGTTAATTTTAAGACTGCATAGACTGAGAGCAGAATTTTCACCTGTGTTACCCAACCCTCCTGAGCAGTGTGCCAGAAGTTCCCATTAAACAAAATGGTGAGTTGTTGCTTTTGTAAAGGAGGCTCTGGAATCTTTGTTTTGTGGGTAAAGAAGGTCAGCTTGTAGAGTTTAGTCCAGGGTCTCTGGGTGCAAGTTTATTTCTGACCATGGATGACTTGCTGTCCTGAGGTTCTCTAGCTAATTTGGAGGTTTTCTGGAGAAGTTGCTAGAAAGGGCTTTTTAGAGGATCTCCCACAAAGGAGAAGGGAGGAAAAGAGAATTAATAGAAGTAAAGTGCACTCTTAGCCTTGGAGAAAGAGGCTCAATCCTCTTATTAGAATTTTTTAAAAAATACCTTTAAATTTCCCTTAGAGGAAAAAAAAAATCTTTGTAAAGGGTTAACAGAAATCCCTACTTACTGAAAGACAAAAGATAGAGGTGATATAGCTAGAAAGGACATACTGCTTTAAAGAAAAGGAAATAAAAGAAACAGCCTAATGCACAATATTTACCAATATTTAAATAATCCAGTTGAAGCCTTTTTTTTGTCATTAATGAAAAAAATTACAACAGAGATGGTTACCTAGAGTGAGAAGAGTGGAAAATGATAGGGAGTTGGGGTGAAGAGTAAGAAGATCCGTTCAGTTAGAGCTTTGCAAGATTCCGCTATACAGCACCAGATCCTATTAAATCAGCTCCCCTTGAGTCAGTACAGTTTGTGAGAAATGAACACTTCAGAATTGCAGTATAAAATATGGCCATAAAAAATCTTCTGTCTTCCAGTCCTGTGCAGGAAGGTGCACCATGCTAGGTGAGATCACGGTGGAGGGGTTCTTGGCACTGGTGGCCTTGGTGGCACCCATTCCCAGGCCCCTCCCGAGGCCCCACCCCCAGGCCCCACCCCTTGGGACCCTCTGAGGCCCTGCCCCCTGGGCCCCGCATCCAGAGCCAGTCACTTGCTGCCAGTATGCACCGTCGTCACAGTGGTGGGCCTGGGTCTCCGCTCAGTTCCAACTCCTGAGACCCCCGAGGAGGAGGAAATGAAACTACAGAGGGTAGAGGATGCCAGGCCTGGAGGAGAACAGGAGACACAAGGGGGTCAAAACTTCAGAAAGGTTTCTGTGGACAGAGAAAAAACCCAACTGTCCTTTCCCACTGCAAGGGTATCAGATGGGCTGGGTTTGTGAGGGGCCAAACTTCACACACTTGATTCTAAATTTTTGCCTACTGTTTTAAATTGAATTGTGTCCCCCCAAAAGATTATGTTCAAGTGCTAACCAACGTATCTGTTTGGGGGTTCGTTTTGCTAAGTTAATGAGGACATACTGGATAGGGTGAGTCCTAAACTTAATCCCTTTTGAGCAGTGTCTTATAACAAGAGTAGAATAAGATACAGATGGGGAGACACAGACAGATGCCATGTGAGGATACATTTATAAGCAGTCAAGGAAAGCCAGAAAATGCCCAGGGCTACAGACTTGGAAAGAGACAAGACTTTCATACCAGAGAAGCACACACACACACACACACACAGAACCTAGGTCTCCCACTGTCCTGAATTTGGACTTCTAGCTTCTAGAACTAGGAAATAAATTTCTGTTCTTTAAAGTTACCCACTTGTGGGAGTTTTAATTATGGACGTCTTACGAAATGAAGGCACTTACTCATGGGAAAACACTGACATCAAAATGCGTTGTCCTTAGATCTACATCTCATCTCCTTTTTCCACTATAATAATTATAACTGCTTTTGTATTAGGAAACTACATGGCTTAAGATACCATAATAAAGTAGGTTCCATTAAGAATTTACCAGCTACTGAGCTGGGCGTGGAATATATACTATCAGTATGAGAAGCATGTTGTTGTTGTTAAGTGCCATGGAGTCTGTTCCATTCCAACTCATAGGGACCCTGCATAGGGGTTCCAAGGAGCAACCGGTGAGTTTGAACTGTTGGCCTTGTGGTTAGCAGTCCAGTAGTTATCCAACAGCATCCTACTTATTATTTCTCACAACAGCTCTGTGAAGTAAGTATCTGCACAATGAAGAAGTAACCTGACTCCTCGTCAGTGTGTTGTCTACATTCTTGGGTAAAAAGTGTTTTGTGCCACAGAGGCAGGACTTTGACATGCGGATGCTCACCTATCCTGTGTGAACTCAGCAGCCCTCTCGCCTATAAATCTCCTTACAAGTTGTAGACAGTTTTCTCCCAGCAGATGGGTTGCCTCAGAAGGCCTCAATGTGAGATGGCTCAACTGTCTGTTAGCTTCAGCAGTGCCTTTCCCCCAGCGAACTTTGTAGACTCAGACATGAAGTGCTCCATGAATTATTTAGAGGGGCTTAGCTGTCAGAGACTTTTTTTTTTTTTTTTTAATCTTCTAACAAATAATCCATTGTGAGGTTCCCTTTGACCAGCAGGTGGAAGGGATTCATATTGAAATCCAAGCATGACTACAATAGTGTACAACATGCCTGTGATAGTTTACGGATATTTCTTAAGAAAATTTAGAGGCAGGACATCCCTGAATGACATGGCATGACTATTTAGAGAAGAAAGGAACCATTTTTCTGAGCCAAATGGAAAGGAGTATAATACCCTGGCAGAGTGGAACCAACAGTGTCCCCCCAAACTTCATGTCCACCTGGAAACTCTGCATGTGACCTTATTTAGAAATAGGGTCTTTATAAATGTAATCAAGTTAAAGTGAGGTTACATTGGATTTAGTCAGGTCCCAGATCTAATAAGAAGGGGAAAATGAGAACACACAGATAGGGGAGAACCCCATGTGAGGACGGAGGCAGAGACTGGAGTCATGGAGCTACATGGTAAGGCAAGCCAAGAATGGCTGGTAACACTAGACACTAGGAACAGGCAAAGAAGGATTCTTCTACAGGCCCTTCAAAGGGGCCTGGCCATGAAAACACCTTGACTTTGGAATGTCAGAGAATAAATTTGTTTAAAGCCACTCAGATTGTGATATTTTGTTACCACAGCTCTAGGGCACTCATACAGCTGGGAAAAGCTGAAAAACTGCTCAGTGTTAGGGAGAGCTTGGGTTGATGGGAGAAGATCAAGGCAACAGATCTGAAGTGGAGAAGAGCCACTGGAATGGTCTCAGTTCGCACTGAGATAAATGTGAAGAGTGAGAGAGACATCAGGAAGGGCGTGGTAGAGTGTCACATACTCATCATTAGTGTGACATGCAGTGCAGAAAGGAAGGATAATAAAAGGCCACCCCATTTGCTGTATTGTGAAGCCAATACATTTCATATACATTAGCTCAAATGATTATCTCAGCAAAACAAAACTACTAGAAGTTGATGGGTTCAGGTTGTCCAGAGTCTTTGCTATGGTGTCCTCCATCTGTAAGAGTAACTAAACAGTGAGAAGTCAATCAGGGCCAGGCATGTGTGTGGTATATCAGAAAGCACTTGTCTGTGAATGGATTTCACATCTATAAATGGAAATAATGATACCCATATTCAGTGCTGTTTTGAGTATTAAATGGGAAAAAGTACTGACATTTATCTCTCAGCAAATGATAGTTTCCTCCTCCCAACCCCAGAATGTTCTTGAATGCCGGCTGAAGAATTCTGATTTTGCTACATACGCACAATCTTTTTGGCTGGCCAAACTGAGGTTGCTTGAAACACTTGCATTTGAACTGTCCAGGCTGCTGCCAAGATGCAGTTTTCTCATATGCCTCACGACCGCCGTGGCGTTAAATGCTTGCTGAAATTCAAGAAACAAGCAAACAAAAAAGTAGACACAATATTCCAGCTAATTAGAAAAGACTCAGACTATGTCTTATTATTTTTCCCATTAATTAAGCATTTTCAACCTCTTCAACATTCTCCTGATGCTTCTACAAAGGAAACACTGATTGTTCTTCCAAAAGTATACTCATCTATTTGACACTCCCATCAAAATATATTCTGAAAAGTAAAAAATATTTTTTCTTCTGATATAATGAATATAGATAATCAATAAAGATAGGTACACCAATTCTCTCCATGATGTAAGAGAATAGACATTTATAATAAAAGGCATATTATACCATCTTAAAATATGACATTTTATAAAATCATTTTTATTATTCTATTATTGGTGTTTCTGTTCTAACTAATAACAAGTCTTTGAAATTAAATTGTTTCGCTATGCGCTGTTTAGTTGATTCCAACTCACAGCGATTCTATATGACAGAGTAGAACCACCCCACGGGGTTTCCTAAGGCTGTAATCTTTACAGTGGGAGCACTCTGGTTCTGTAGGATAAGCACTGGACTTTGCATCACAAGGTTGGCGGTTCAAGCCCACCAGTCACTACACAGGTGAAAGATGAGGCTTTCTAGTCTCGCAAAGATTTCCAGCCTTGGAAGCCCCATACAGGGTCGCTTTGAGTTGGAACTAACCTGATGGCACTTAACAACAATAATTCTTCGAGGAAGAGATCACTGGGTCTTTTCTCTTATAAAGCCACTGAGTCGATGTGAATGAACTGCAGACATTTTAGTTAGTAGCTGAGTACTTAACCACTGCATACAAAGGACCCATTTTTTTTTAATAAACTAGGTCAGTGGAATTAATTTGTTTCTGTATAGACTGTTGGGTTTTGTGGCAAAACAGCTAGCTCTTAATTACTCACATTGATTAGAATTCAGTTTAGGTACCAATTGCTGGTTATGAAAACCTCAGTGGTTTAAGTACATCATATGTTTACCAGAAAATACTGATGAGTTAAAATCAGATTTCCTGTTTCATTTTGTTTTTCCCCTCAAAAATGTTCCAACTCATTTTGACTCCTATGTGTCAGAGTAGAACTGTGCTCCATCGGGGTTTTTAGTGGCTGCTTTTTCAGAAGTAGATTGCCACGGCTTTCTTCCTAGATGCCTCTGGGTGGACTTGAACGTCAAACTTTTCGGGTAGCAACCAAGTGCTAAACATTTGCATCGCCCAGGAAATCCCTTTTTCCTCATGGTGGTGGTAGTGTGTCGTGGAGTCGGTTTTGACTCACAGCAACCTTGCATAGGAAATGCTTAGGGCTTATTCCAAGGTTGTACACCTTTAAGGGAGCAGACAGCCTCGTCTTTGTCCTGTGGAATGACCGGTAGTTTCAAACTGTTGACCTTGAGGTTAGCAGCCCAACTCATAGCCACTAAGCTACCAAAGCTCCTTTTTTTCAATCTCATAGTACTTCTTTAATGAGGTTGTCTAGTCAATGTGCCAGCAAAATGAAAAATACATGGATGTTCATGGTATATGAGAAATAATAAACAAAAAAAGTTGGCAGTATTGCTGTTTTTGAATTACATACTTTAACCCTTCCCCTCCATGATACTCGAATCAGTTCTTTATTGGTTAAGATTAGCACATTTATTTCAATGAGGTGCTGGGGGAGTGAATCCCAACACAAATGATAAAACACCCATTGCTGTCAAGTTAATTTTGATTAAAGTGACCCTATAGTGACAAAGATTTACACCCTCGGAAACCCTGTACAGGGTCGCTATGGGTCGGACCCGACTCGATGGCACTTAACAACAACAACAACAACATAGTGACATGGTAGGACAGAGGAGAACTGCCCCATAGAATTTCTAAGGCTGTAAATCTTTAAGGAACCAGACTGCCACATGTTTCTCCCAAAGAACAGTCTGTGGGTTCAAACTGCCAACCTTTTGGTTATCAGCTGGGTGCTTAACCACTGTGCTACCAGGGCCCCTACTCAAGTGATGATAACCTTTTTAAATAAGAAAGACTCAACTTGTAGAGCAAGTTTCATGAGAGTGGTTACACTCAATGAGAATTTAATAAGCACAAGACTTACTCTCCATTTGCTTTTTGCGAAGTTCTTCCGGATCTGGGCACTGACAGACTCATGAATGTTTTTGTTGAGGGCCGTGTCACCAGCAATCCTGGAACAAGCAGAGATGCTTCATCAGTGTGTTTCTCTAGGGGTTCTGACATGGGGTCCCAAGTCACTTTCCTACCCCCTTCTTCAGGCTCATGACACAGTGGCTGGCCACTGTCCCTTCAAAGTGGTTCATTTCAACCTATGGCTCTTCTCAAAGCCCACATAATCTGCTGTCACCCACTACTGGGGTTTAAATTCATCAAATTTTTACTAAAGTCCTATTCCACCTTCTACACCCTCCCCAGCACCCCCAGCATCTTCCTGGTAGACTATCATTGTGTGTCTTCCATTTCTTTTCCATCCCAATTTCTGCAACATCAGAATCCATGATGACAATGCAACCAGAATGCAGTTTTTCATTCTCCTTCCACATCAGCTTTCTGCCAGCAACACTTCATCTCTGTGGTCTCAAACTTGTTCCTTGTTTGGCCTGACCACCAGACTGGACCCCTACTCAGACCCTGCTTCCCAGCTCAGTTGCACTCAAGGCCCCTACTCTCAGCCCTCACTAGTACCTCTTCCTGATGGAGTCCGGTCACAGCTCTGGGCTAACAGCTTCATTTGACTCCTTCCCAGATGAACTGACCCCTCTCTCGTATGCCCGTCTCACCTTCTCTTGAGCCTGGAAAGGGGTTAATGCGCTGGACTGCAAAATTGGTTTGAACTGCAAGGTTTGTGGTTCAAGCTTATCAGCTGCTCCTTGGAAACCCTATACAGGATCACAATGTGTCAGGACCTACTTGATGGCACTTACCAACAACAACACAAGGACGGACTTGGTCCAGTCTAGTTTTGGCTGCATCCTTGATATTACTGAGCAAAACTTGTTTAGTTCTTGCTTTTGCTTTAGGCTTGGCATTTGCTCTTGCCTTCCTTTCCTTAGGGGAGGTCTCACCTTATCCTATTATTCCCTCCTTCTCTACCATCCCCCATAATGTTTTTATCTTTCTGTCTTTCAAATCTTACACCTCCCACTTCTCCCTCGTGACTTCCAATCTCCAGGCTTCCTCATTATCTCAAAGTCAACACACAGATCATTTTTCTCTCCCAAATACCCTTTCCAAACTAAACATCATCTTCCCTCTGTGCTCAACCACTTGGCCTTCCCAATTTCAGCCTCTTCTGAACTTTGACCCTTCCATTTTCCCTTTCTTTAGCACCACACTCTTATGTTCATGGACGCCTAGAAAATAGTTTCTTGAATCTGAGAAAAGTTAAGCTTCAGAAGCCAGAGATTCTCCACACCCTCCCTGGCTAGAAGGTGACTGGCAAGTGGGAAACCTTTCAGTTCCCAGACTCAGACTGCCCTGGCATGAAACAGCCTGGATGCCTCAGACTGTTACTTCCAACTGCTCTATGAAGTGAAAGGAAATGCTTAGGGCTTATTCAGACAACAAATTATACCTGAATAAAGCATATTGTCCCACCCAGCCAGCCTTTCACTATAGAACTGGGGAAACCGTTGATGGACCAAGCATTTAACCTGCTGGAGCTGAGTTTAGAATACAGACTAAAAGTTCTAGTAACTCCTCCATAAATATTGTTGTTACATGCTGTTGAGTGGGTTTCAACTCATAGTGGCCTTGTGTAGGGTTTCGGAGGAGCTACTGGTGAGCTTGAACTTCTGACCTTGCAGTTCAAGCTGACCTTGCAGTCCAATGCATTACTCACAGTGCCACACCAGGACTCACTCCTTAAATACACTCTGCTCTTTTTCCCAGCAAGGATGAAAATACGTGTCCATTCCACATGTCCCTAGGAAATTACTGTGGAGAATCAATTCTATTTCCAATAACACAGTTTGAACTGCAAGGTTGGTGGTTCAAGCTCACAAGCTGCTCCTTGGAAATACATATACAGGGTCGCTATGTGTCAGAACTGCCTTGACGGTGCTTAATAACAACAACAATACCGTCTGCTTCCATTAAGATTGTTGTTGTTGTTAAGTGCTGTCAAGTAAATTTTGACTCACAGCATCCCTGCATAGGATTTTTCAAGGGTTTGAACAACTGACCTTGTGGTTAGCAGTCCAGTGTTTATCCTACAGTGCCCATAGAGATTACAGTCTAGAAAATTCTATGGGGCAGATCTATTCTGTCACATGGGATCATCAGGAGTTGGAATAGACTCAACAGCACCTAACAACAACAACAACAACAACAATAATGTAGATGGCATTCATAGACATCACACTCTTTTGAGGCCTTACGACAGATCATCACTTTCTTGTTTGGCTCTCTGCATACCGTCTGCTCCATGTGCGCAGCTCTGGTCATGGTTTTCTCCAACCACTTGCTCAAGATAGGCTTGGTGGGGCCTGTGGGCATCACCAATGTCCTGGGCTACTGCACAACTCCCATGGGCAACCAGAACTCCCAGCTTTTCCATCTTTCCAACTGTTCTAAAAACTATTCTGTGGATGGAGCCCAGGAGAATGGCTGGGTCTCAGAGAATATTCAGGAGAGGCTGCAGAGCCACCTCCTAGCCTGGAAGGTGTACACTGTTCCCACCTGGAGCCCTGTTTGCTCACTGTAAAGCTTGGAGCTGTTTAAGTGCAACCAGGATCCTGAAGCTCAGTGCTACCACTTTAGTGTTCTTATCAATGACGCGGAAGACAGAGGTTCAGAGCTTCAGACAGAGGACCTTAACGTGAATTAAAAACATCCTGAATGGGCTCTCACCCTGCTCTTTGGCAGCTGGTTTCTTCCTTACCATGTAACACAACAGAAAGAGGCTTGGGGAACATGAGGCAGGAGGGGCTGGTTGCTTTCTACTAGGGGAGCCTTGAAAAAAACTCTTCTCCCTGGAGTGCTCTGTCTGGAGGCTAAGGAAAGGTGTCTACAAACTCTGGTGGTACAGTGGTTCAGTGCTTAGCTGCTAACTGGATGGTTAGGAGTTCAAACTATCACTACTCCACAGGAAAATGGAAGGCAGTCTGCTTCTGTAAAGATTCAAGCCTTGTGAAGTCTATGGGGTACTCGACTCTGTCCTACGGTCTACTCTGAGTTAGAATTGACTCAGTAGCAATGGATTTGGTTAGTGTTTGGGTTTCTCCTAGCTCTAAGTGGCCCTGATTAAACAGAAAGGACAAATGTCCAGTTACAGATGATGTTCTCTGACTGTAACTGATATACCAAGACCACAGCTTCCAGAAGAGTGATGCTGATAAGGCTATGCATCACTGGCATGAGTTTTCTACTTTCTGCCAGCTCTCAGCTGAATCTATGTTCTCCTTTGCCTGGCAATTACACAAAAATGAGATAAGCATATCATAAATGCAGGCATGTGACACTTGAGTTGAATATATTAATCTTTATAATTTCCCAATGTTTGACTTCTTTAGAACTTTAAAATACACAGTAAAAATTACAAAGCACTAAAAAAACAAAACAAAACAAAATACCAACCACCTCTGTTTGAAGTGAAAAGACATTTGCTTGTGCATTTCAAATGCTAGTCAATCTTACAATATGAGATTTAAGGCTTATACAACAAACTTCCCAGTAGCTCTTCATCTAGACGATTCCAAGACTTCACACAAGGCATGCCCAAAGATGAACATTATCTTCTACATAAACCTGCGTCTCCTCCCAGTGTAGTCATTCCATCAGTTCCTTAAGCTGGAAAGTTGGGCATGATCTTAGCTCTGTGTTCGTCTCACTGTACCCCACCAGTGCTCTGCCCAAGACCTGTATCATTTAGATATGTCATAATAAATATGTATATCACTTTATTATGGTAAAATAGACATAGCTAAAAGTTTGCTATTTTAACCATTTATACACACACATACACACGCACGCTGTTGCTGGGTGACACTGAGTTGATTCTGACTCACAGTGAGCCCAGTGACACAGCAGAACTGCCCCATAGGGTTTTCTCTGCTGTCATCTTATGGGAGCAGAACACTAGGCCTACCTCCCATGGAGCCGCTAGGTGAGTTTGAATCCAATCTCGGTTAACAGTCCAGTGCTTATATATATTGTGCTATCAGGACTTCTCCACATACATATACATATGTCAAGATGATAAAACCTCAAAACTGCCTACTTTTCCTGAAAATTCTTCTCTTCTCACCCAAATGCTTGCTCTCTGTGAGAACACTGGTGAAGAGTTTAAGTGGTAGGATCTGTGTAAGGCTGGAATCTTGGCTGTGCTGTTCGCTACGGGGTCATCTTAGCTAAATTGCTTTGCCTTCCTAACTCCATCTCTTCTTCTCCAACTAGGAGATGAAACCTGCCTTATAGGGTTAATTACTAGGAAAACATGCGATACTATTTTAAAGCAATTATCAAGTGCCTAGAAGATAATGAGTGCTCAATAAAAAACAGCCGTTATGACCAATCAGAACACTGCATCCCTGAGGAATGTCACTACCTGTAAGTAGACCTCCTCTGGAAGCTTAACTAGCATATGAGATTGGGGATGAATGGTCCAGCAGATGTAAACTGGATAGGGGCAGTTTCCTAGAGTGCCTCTTGGGTGTAATTTCTCATGACTCCAAGAGAAATTGCATCTGTGTTTTATTACACTGGGTATTTTGCCATTGTTGGCACTTCTTTCTATATGGATGCTCATAGTGCTTTAATAAACGCCAGAACTAGTTGTTATCGAGTTGATTCTGATGCATAGTGATTCCATATGTGTCAAAGTACTACTGTACTCCAAAGGGTTTTCAATGGCTGATGTTTTGGGAAGCGGATCATCAGGCCTAATTGCTCCATCTAATTAATTACGCATTTATTATGTTGGCACATTAGGCATTGTGCTAAGCCCTATGTAGGCATTATCTCAAATATACCTCCTATCAACCCTGTACATTACATAGTGTTATTCTCATTTGAAAGAAGAAATAATTGACACTCAGAGAAGTATAAACCCAAAGTCACAGGTGGTAGATAATAAAGCTCAATTCAGAACTAGTCAGTAGCATAAACACAAGGTGTAGTTTAAAGCACACTGCTGAAAACATAGAGCAGAATGCCACAAGCTATCAATCAATCTCTTTGGAGCTGAAGAAACACGAAGGGGAAATGCATCTTTAAAGGGGAAAAGAGAAAATATTAACTTCAATTCATCTAACTACTGAGTAATAAACTCAAGGGATAATTTCCGATCTTAATGCCTCAGTGGAAAATTACCTTCACTATAAATATCCCCCAAAACTCTCTGTAAAGTGAAAGAACTGCAGCTATTTTTTACACACTTAAGTTCTCATTGTTGTTGTGAAGTGCCATTGAGTCGGTTTGGACCCACAGCGACTCTATATAGGGTTTCCAAGGAGCAGCTGGTGAGCTTGAACCACCAACCTGGAAGTTCAAATGGCTTTGCAGTCTGGTGCATTAATCCACAGCACCACACCAGGACTAGTTCTCATTAGTGCATTCAAAAAACTGTGTCCTGAAGGAACAAAAGGGTCAACTGTCATCCTGGAGAGGACCCACAGTCAGAATGAGATGGAATTATTTCCTGGGGATTTCGGTCAAGGACAGCTAGGAGACAGCTGACTCTGGGAAGGCATTAGATACATGGTCTATACACTGGTTGATTTTTCTTACCAGGGGTGCCGAGCTGCCTGCTCACATGTGTATCTTTTATTTGGATCTTTCTCCATCAGATTCCGAATGAAGTCTTTAGCTGTTTACAAAGAAAGCACAAGAGAAGGAATGAGTTTGTAGCTTGAGATGTGCTGATAGGACACCACCAGGTAGCTGAGAAGAGTGTGTGCGCATGGAAAATCTGAAGCCAGCCTTCATCTGATCCTGCTGTGCAAGGACACAGGGGCAGTTTGTACCAGCACTTGGGAGAAAGGGAGGTCAAGGCTTGGGACCCAAGTCAGTGAGACCTCGGATGTTAGCTCACCAGCTCTCTTTAGCAACCCGTGACATCTTCTGTTCAGAGGAGAGACAAAATAGCTTAGAAACAATGTGCCTCTGGCTGAGTTCACCACTTCCTAATGTGTTGATTGTGTTTTGTTGAAGTCCCTACATGTTTTAGGCATCACTGATTCAACAAAAGATAAGGTCCTGGGTGAGGCTCTGGGGATATCAACTTTCAAAGAGTAGTCTTTGCAGCCTACTTGTCTAGTCCGTTCCAACTCGTGGTAAGCCCATGTACTACAAAATGAAACAATGCCCTGTTCTGTGCCCTCTTCATGATGGTGGCATGCTCAGTCTGTTGTGGCCACTGTGCCTTCTGGCTCGTCTTACAGCATCATACCGCTCAATGCTCTGTTAGGACTCATAGGGTTTTCATTGGCTAGTTTTAGGAAGTAGATAGCCAAACCATTCTTCCCTAGTCTGGAGGCTCTGCTGAAACCTGTTCACCATGGGTGACCCTGCTGGTACTTAAAATATCAGTAGCCTAGCTTCCAGCATCGTAAGAACACACAAGCCACCACAGTGTAACAAACTAACCGATGAGTGGTCAGCAGCCCATTGATTCTGTTACAAATAAGCCAACAGGAAATTACAATACAATGAATTTTTCCTGCTGAGGCAAGAGGGCTGTGCTTGGCAGCTTGGAGGAGGAATAACTCAAAAGTAGGGCACAGAGATCATGAGGGACAAGTTACAGTCCCCTAAGTCTATAGGATTATATATTCTGTCCCCATGAGAGTGCACTTCCTACTTCAGAAGTAAAGTACTTTTTATGCAGCACTTTCTTGCTAGCCTTTAGAACTTCCTTCTGGGCCCAGATTTTCAGAAGATTGAGGTAGAAAGCCGGGTATGTTTAGCAGTTTGGACATTTATCCCTGAGGAAGAAAAGGCAAACTTCCTAGGAAACACTGCAGTGTGGCCATAGTACCTAAGATGTCAGCTCTAGAGTAAGGACTTAGGTTCAAATCCCAGCTGTACCACTTGTTAGCTGTGTGACTTTGGTCAAGGTATTTAACTTTTCAGTGCTTCAGTTTCCTAATCTGTCAGATGGTGACAATAAAAGCAAGACCGACCTGATAATGTGTCCTGAGGAGTAAGTAAGTTAATTGCTGTTGTGCCACTGAGTTGGTTCTGACCAATAGCAACCCTGTACAGGGTTTTTGAGGAGCACCTGGTGAGCTTGAACTTCCAGCCTTTTGGTCCAAGCCGACTTTGCAGTCCATCACACTAACCCACAGCACCACACCAGGACTTGAAGTTGATTACAGGGCTCAGTAAGCATGGCGCTGTGAGATAAAGCACTGGGTGGCAAGGTCGCTTTGAACTACAAGGTCGGCAGTTTAAACCCACCAGCTGCTCCTTGGAAACCCTATACAGGATCGCTGTGAGTCAGAATGGACTCATCAGCACTTAACAACACCAAGCACAATATCGTTTCATTACTGCAGCATTGACAGCAGGTCTGGGTGGATTGGTGAACCCCCATCCCTCAGCCTGGCTCGAATCAGATAGTCCCACTCCTTCCTTAACTGTCGAGTCAAGTCCAATATATAGCTCATGAAGATTCTTTGGGAGCTTCTGGGGTCCTTCTGACCTCCAGTCCCCAGGTTCTACTGGTCTGGCTGTGGAGTCTCAGGGTCTGCCCACTGGGAGCTGCTGGAGACTTACCAGAGTCGGAGATGTCATCCCAGTATGGGGAGTCAAACTCGTATTCTGCCTTGAGAATCTGTTCAAAGAGTTTGGAGTCATTTTCGTCATAGAAAGGCGGGTAGCCACAGAGCCTGGAAAACAAGATGGTATCAAGATCTGAGATGACTTTGTATCAAAAGTCCTGAGTTTAGATTTTTGCCTGGAAAAGACTTTAATCAATCGAATTAAACAAACTTGCACTGTATGTGCCATAAATATCTAAAAACAAACAAAAAAAACCCCCAAACCACACACATTCAATGGACTCCTGGTGTGGAGCTGTAAGATCAGCACTTGACTGCAAACCACAAGGTCAGTAGTTCAAACTCACCAGCTGTTCCTTGGGAACCCTATCATAGGGTCACTATGGGTCGGAACTGTCTTGATGGCACTTAACAACAACATGGGTGGCAAAGAAGTGAAATTCTGATTGAGCAAATAACGGAAATGGCTAACTCAGGTAATATTAAAAATAAATACAAATATTTATGTTCACCTTAACTCTGTGCACATTATTGGCCACAAAGTCTAATAAACCCTAAAAACCTATCCAATAGCCTTGTTTGTATAAATGCTATGATCTCATTTTCTGTAAGTGCAACCTAATATATGTTGGGTTGGTGAAAACAGACTAAACACAATACATACTTATGTTTCCAGGTTCATTCTATTTCAAAAATCATCTTAGGAAGAAAAGAAAATTCTACAACTTTGTTGCCATAGTGACCCAAATCTGTACATTATCACTCTACCATGTCCAGGGTGGGTATTTAAGGTTTACAGTCTTGCCCACTAAGGAGTCTTGGTGGCACAATGGCTAAATGCTTAGTTGTTAACTGAAAGTGGTGATTTGAATTTACCCAGTGGCTCTTAGTTAGAAAAAACCTGGTGATATGCTCCTGAAAAGATTACAGCCTACAAGACCCTATGGGGGCAGTTCTACACAATCCTCGAAGGTTGCTATTAATTTGAATCAACTCAATGGCAAACAATGACAGCAACAGTTTTGCCTGTTAATATGCTGTATCAGCAGGGGTCAGTACAGATTATAACACTAAACTACTATGATACTGTCATCAGCTTCAATCCCAGAACCATAGTAGAGTGGATTTTCAAAAAGATCATTTTAGGATGCTGATGCAAACCACTAATTCATCTGACGAACTTAATATGGGTAGAAATTCAGATTAAATACAATTCATTCCATAGAATCACCGAGTCTCACTCAAGTTCTGCTCTCAGTTTGAATGCAACTTTTGATGCCATTTTTGCTGCTTTTAGGTATCAGTGAGTCAGCCTTAACTCATAGCGTCTCCCACTGAACAGAGATGAACTGCCCTCTGGGGTTTTTCTAGGCTGGTGTGGTGCAGGTGTGGGGGGTTCAAATTTCCTCATCCCAAAATGGGGAAGCTGGAGTCAAAATTTTCTAATATTTTTTCTGGCTTTGAGATGCTGTAGTTCTGTGGCTCCCCTCTTCCAATTGCTTTATAGCTGGATAAAGACTTATGAAATGACCTTGTGTATGTAGGAGGCACATGGGGTCAAGGGCAGGCTCTGGCTGAGACTAGAAAGCAGGAAGGGTGGGCTTGAGGCTGTAGTTCTACATGATCAACAGAGCTGGGGTTGATTCAATAAGCTCAGGCAGAAAGCTGCTCTGGGGTCAGAAGAACCCAGAGGGTGGCAGCCACAGAACAAGTTCTGTTCCCAAGTAAGTACTACATCTTCCCACAAAGTCAAAATTTACTCAAAACACAGCTCTGGCCTAGAGACCTTGTAATGAGAATAAATGAACAGGAGTCAATAGACTCCGGCCTGTGAGGGATTGGGCTGTAGGCAAATGAGAAAATTTAATAGAGGTTAGAAAGCGTGACCTCGGTTCAATCATTCTTTAGGTTCCTCCTTACCTGAGACTCAATACCACCAGGCCACTGCTACAGAGGGGAACAGTTGATGACATTGTCAAAGTCTATGAGACATTCTGTGGGCTGATACAATTCAAACAGATCTATTTCCAAATGGTTGAGTTAGGGGCTAAGTGCCTGGAAATTTTCACTTTGAGAGATTTTATGCTTTTGGTGAAATGAACATGATTTAATGCTTCTGCAACCACCAAGTGCATATTTCACTGTCCAAGGAAA